CTAAGTAGTGCGGCTTCGGACGGATAACCACAGCCAGGCGAGTCAGGTGCAAGTACGATAAGGTAGTGATGAACACCCCCTCGTGTTACAAAGTCAGAAAGGTTCGGTGTCGAGTGGTATAGTTGTTAAGCGCTCGCCCATTTGGTACAGAAGTGGACAAATTCCCCAGTATAAAATTTGGTACAACACAATCGTCGGTGTTTGAGTTTGTCACGAATTCGTGTTTTTTTACACCACCGAAAACGTTTGGTTCAAAAGTGGATTGGTACAAAAGTGGAGACACGTTTGACACACCTTCGATTTGTCGGATCCAAGTTTGACAACACACATCCAACTTTGACACACCCTTGATTTATCAAGTGCAAGATTGACACTATCTTATCCACTGGATAATTATCCAGGAATGACTAGTTTGACAATACGCACCTACCATGTACACGTTTCGAGTAGAAACTTTCTACGACGTGAATTATGGTGACCTATGCTGAGGTATGGACTCCTCGAGTCTCGAGGATGATGCTTGTGTTTGAAACTTTGTGAAAAGTGCTTGTTTCGTGGTCGTGCACAGCCCCCGCAGTCGTAGAAGCGGATCCTGCCGAGGGGAGAGGAAGTACCATAGTGGAAGGTGTCGCTCCGTGCGCAAGAGCCGTGTTGTCGGCGTTGGATGATCCAACTTGGATTCTAAACTCACACGCAGAATTTTCGATTCAGGTCACTTGGGCCAGTAGATCTTGGAAAAACATGACTTCTGCGCTATCGTCGATTCACTGGGCGTGTTCCCGGTCACCAAATAGGGACCTCCTTCAGGCAAAAAGCCCTGATCCGTTCGCTAACCAAGTTTCACGCCAACAGCCAACGTGAGAACCAAACTCAATGCTCAAGGTGACATGCAGAAAATCTAGGAGCCCTGCGGCCCGTGTTAGCTTTAATTTTTTGGGGCGGGCGACTGAGATAGCAGATAGTGATGGTGTTGTGCAACTCGACACTTGTAGCCGATGTGATGTGAAAGAAAGAATACTTATTGAGCGGTTGGCCTGGTTTTAGCTACGGAAAAATCGATCAATTCACGTGTGCAGGCCACCTTGCACACAGGCTGTGTGCAAGGCTGTGTGACACAGCCTTGTGCGTCACCTTCACGCACCAATCACAGCAACCTGACGATGTGGTCATCTTTCCCAGATGACTCAGCGAAAGAAAATTGATTTGTGACAGAAATAGCTGATAATAATATCAGGTAACCATGCCATCTATGAATGTAAAAAGACATGCATAGAGAGCATGAAGAGACATTGTCTCCGAGACAGCAATGCACACGGTACTCGTGACACAATGCAGCGAGGCTAGCAAAATGGGAAATCTGAGGCCCGAACACTTAGGGTCGCAGTGTCCACCGGGCCTCCATCAATGTGGATCGTACAGATCGGGCGAGGCTCTTTCCCAGCTCAGGAGGTGCGAAAGGGTTTGTCGGGCGTGTATACCCCCCGCACTAGTAGGTCGTGCGTAACAACCTCTTCCCTCTGATTAACCCTTACTCCCACGGGACGCGTGTTGAGCAACAGGGTCACATAATCCAGCACCGTTTGCGATACTTTAGAGGCTTTGCCCTGATTGGCTTTCAGGAACAGAGCTCGAACCTTATTCATTCCAAGGTCGTGGACTTTCTCCACCTTACCTTGCATCCAAGGCGATCTAGTATTTGCATAAACCACCTGGACGTTCATGGATGACATAGCGTCTCGAAACTTGTCACTTTTGAAGTAACTCGCTGTATCAACATGCATGTACTTGATCGCATGGCCTATCTTCGTTACTAAGATATGATAAGCGCGCACTGCTCCTGCCACAGTCGCTCCTGTAGCTAGGCACACCGTCGTGAAAACCTTCACGTGATCTCCTAACGCCAGGAAATCACAGAACACTACTGTGAATGGTACGCATTCGTCCACCAACTTCTTCATATCGTACGAATGGGATCCAATTCCGTGCCCCTACTGGAGGGACGCGCGTAGAATTTGACACCCTACACACCGATCAAGGTGCTTACGCACACTTAAACGTAACCCCTCGATGAATAGGGTATGAACCTTCGCCATAGTGGCGTCGATAGACCCGTGTCTCGTCGCACGATGTGCCTCACCAATCACTAGGGAGACCAACTCAGGTGCCCGATAAAGAGGAATAATCGGCCTATACTCTACCGATTGATCCAACTTAAAGAGACGCATATAGGCAATCCCCTCATCTAGCTTTATAGCATCGGCTCCGGTGCTTCTAAAGCCGGCGTAGCAATCACCCTGTGCCGCTCGTGCTATGGCCAAAAGGTCATCCTTGCTGGATGTGTCTCGGTACTCGATATCGAGTAGAGCGCCTTTTCCACTCCGATCTGACCTTCGAGTGGTGCCTCCGTCCGAATCCACGCCCCGCTCGGCCTTCTGTGCCCGAGCATTTTCTCCCAAAAGCCGGAGGACCACACGCACCAACGCAACGTTGTGCGCTGCTTCAGCCAATGTCCGGCAACCACGAGCCACTCTATCAGCTAGTGTACTGGCTCCGGGTGGTTTCCCAGCAGCTCTTCTCAGTACAACCTGGAGTGCCTCGACTGGTTGACATTCCCCTTGCAGTACCTAATCTGAGAGACTCCAGCAAAAATCATCAAC